CTTGAAAACATGAAAAGCTTCTAATTGGATGCTCTTGCTTGATTCCTGCAGAAAAGGATTTCACTATTTAGTGTTCGAATTTTGTTGCTGTGTTTTAATACTTGAACAAGGAAAATCTCAGTGGTTGCAGCTACTGTGCTGCTAATAGCAATAGTCCAGTACTACACTTCAACCATAAACTTATAAACTAAATGAATAACAATATTTGCAGACGTAGGCCTATCATTCTTGACTATAGTCGATGACAACTAAAGCTTCATGTTGAATAAAATAAACCAAGACATCAAACATCAGAAAAAAAAAACATACCGATAATCAAACATCAAATCAAGAAATCTGGGGAAGTATCATACCCTTAGAAGATTCATAAGAATCCTTAAATTATCCCTTGAGCTCACATATCTGGTCATGACAGCTGAATTTGAGCGGTCCAACAAAATATCCCCCAATAACTGTAACATAAGAAGAGAATAGAGGAAACATGATGTAAAATGTCTCCTAAGCAACAAAAAGAAGCATCAAATGACACTGCCACATCTTATTTCAACAATTTTAAAATAAAAGGGCTATCATACTACTATGATTTTGACATTTTAAAAACGGTACTTCAATTGGATTGAGTTATGATCAAATCCAACGCAACACTTCTAGAGATACTTCTCATAACAAATTATTGATGTTTCAGGTCCTAGAAGGGTAACACAAATTTTCTACTCCATGTACTTCTCAAAACTCATATTTCAGGTTGAAATCAGAAAACGAACCCTTTTAAGTGACATGAACTCAAGCATGTTTAAAAGCACCATGCTTCCATTTTGATTGAAAATAAACCACTTAAACGCATGCTGTTTCTTTCTCAAGTGGCATACCTTAATAGCTTGCCTTCTCATAATGTAGTTGGTAGATTCCAGCAGCTTTGAGTTATATTCTGCAAGAAACTGAAACCACAAACAAGCTGTTTATTGAACTCTAATCAATAAAAACTTTCAACACAAAAAGAGGCATGAAGAAGAAATTCAGGGACAATTAATAAAGCTACTGTACCATCATTACAGTTTACAATCATGTCATAAAAATATTTAATCAAACATGACAGAGCAAATAAAATAATTCTAATTGAAAGTTTGAAACAATTTAAGGCTGACAGTATCAGGGAGAGAAAAAAAAGATACAGATACTTCGGAGCTGAACTAATTATTTAATTACCATGATAAGTATTTAACATCAAAACTGCACAATTTATAGGATGACAATAATAAAGGAGAAGAACTCACCCAGTCATAGTTCTTGGAAAGAAATTCAGCTACAGTGGACTTATGCCTAGTTAGAAGCTCCTGTAAGAAAATGAGATATTACATGACGGTAGCAGTAGGCAGTAGCCACATAAATCACCTCAACATCAAACAACTATGTTTTTCCTTTATTTTTTAATTTAAAATATCAAAGCAAATCTAGCCCCTACTTCAAAAATTACAGCAAATAGCAAGTAGTTATGAAACTAGATTCCACTGAAAAATACAGATTCAGAAGTGAATCAGTCAGAGACTGACAAAAAACTGGTGGGGGAGTAGGAGAGATCATCTAACGTAGTTTAAACTTTAATCAGCGGTATTCAACCTTAAAAGTTGCAGCAGCATCAGCAGCAATGTCGAAATTTGGAAGTTGTATATAGACAAAACTTTTTCATGTGTTGAGATTCCAAAACATACCTGTAAATCAGACAAACATGACAAATATAGACAATAATATATCAAGGGAAAATATGTTATAAGATGGAGATAATTCAAAGGTAAATAACAGGAAAGAGTGCCTCTTAAGTGAAACACCAAAAGGAATGACTTGGGTTCTCCATTTAGATTCACTAAAAGGATGAGAAGCTAAATCTTGAAGGAATAATTGGAGCCCTATGTTTACCTTGCAACAGTCTGATGACGTATGCATTCTCTCAACTTTGCACCATAATGTAAAGCCATGTCATTGTTCTCATAACTGAGAAACAACATCTAAGAATCATAAGATGGTGAAATAATGATCATAGCTTATACAAACTGTTTTTGCTTTCCACTTACCCTGCTATTAAAATATCCATAAGATCTATGTTAGCCTCCAAGTAATCAGAAGCAATCAATCGCGACTGCACTTGCTGCCTTTGCAAATTTGCAACAACTTGAGTTGCATCTTTCCTCGCCTGTAAAGGAAGATACTTGTCAAATTATCATAGAAGCAGCAATTATGATAAATTAACAGTCAATTGGTGTTACCTCTAAATTCAATTTAGGAAGACAAGTGATCAAGAGCCGTAGCGTGTTCTCTCTAAAGAACTCCTGAGTTAATTGTGCACAAGCTTCAGAGACTGGCTCGGATTCACTGTTTCCATAAAGAATACACTTCAACTCCCTTATGTTTTTACATAATTCTGCCATCTGAATCAAAATTACCATCAAATGTAAGGATTAGAGTTCGACGCTGAAGCTATGCTACTTTCAGTTAATCAAACAACTTCTTAAGCCCTGTAAATCCACACCGAATATTAGCTCCAGTTAATTGAACTCATATCGGGCCCTTGATATATTGTTGTCTATATTTGTCATGTTTGTCCGATTTAATTCACATGGTAACTAAAATCCCTAGCTCCAGTTAATTGAACTCATATCGGGCCCAAAATTCGAAAACATTTAGATTCCAAAAATAAAGGAGAAAAAAATTGAAATAATTAATGTGCTAAAACTAAAGGTGTTTGATGAAGAGAACCTTCTCTTCGCGCTTGGATTCACGGCTATCGGGGGAGCGATCTGCATAGATGAGGAGATCACGCGTTTGCCGCACGATGTCAACTAGTGTTCGCGGCTTTGATTTGAAAAGGCCCTTCATGTTGTTAGGCGATGACTTGTCGCATATGTTTGCGGTAGGGGCGGTGTTAGGTAGCGCAGCTGGTTGCGAGAGCCTCTGCGCAACGGCTCTGCTGGTCGCACCGCCTTGCTTCGATACAGATTCCTATTCTTTCAACAAAAAGTCAGTTTATTATGTTGGATTGTGTTTTTCTTTTCTTTTCGCAATGATGAATGATGAGTTTGGCTTTTGTTCCCAGTGTTTTCCGCGATTTGGTTATTGTGATTGATTGCTATTGTATCAAACGGATGCCGTTGGATTTGCTTGCACATGAATCACTCACGCTAACTGTTGGTTGGCCGGTTACTCATCGCCGATTTGTCATTGCTTTTGTTACGGCATGGGTTCAGCTGAGCTTAGTGTTTAGTGCTCTTCGCTTGCGGACCGACATAGGATTACACAACATCACAGATTCAGTACGACCAATAACATATTGACACGTACACAAAATAGAGTTAAAAAGTGGGGCCTATTTGCTTGTGGCTTTACTGACAGGTTTTTCAGTTTGGGTTAAAAAAAATCAAAGGAGCAGTTGACTTTATAAATTCCAGAGAAATTAATTCGGTATTTTTACTATAGTATTTAGAGGAAAAGGATAAACAATGCTGTTGTTATTGCTTCACGGATAAGGATAAGATCCACAATCGGAAAGGTATCCATAAAATAATGTGTAATATTTGAAATTTTAATTTCATATGATTATATATGAAATTTTAATTTAATTTGATTTAATTTTTATTAATCATTTTATCGTTCTTAATATAGTAGTATTTTAAATTTACAAATTGTAAAGACAAACATTTGTATTTATCCAACGTTGAATTATAATTGATGTATTTATTTCTGAAATTTGTATATTAAAATCAAAATCAAATTTTTATATATAAAATTAAATTTAAAATTAAAAGTTATGTATATAATGTTTTAATGTTAGTGATAAAAACAGATGGTTAAATACTTTTATTACTTTATCAATACTTACTAGAGTTGTTGAAATAATCATTACTTAATTTAATAAAAAAATCATTACTTAAACAACTACTAAATTAATAATGCAATATATATATATATATATATATATATATATATAAAGTCATTATAATTTTTGATATAGTAAAATTTCTTTCATTTCTTTATAATTTTTCTCATCTAAAATTTTACATGCAAGTCTATATTATTATTTTACAATTTCATCTATTTATTTTTTATTAGTATCCCCATTTTGTAAGAGAAACACACTAATAATAGGATTGGATGAGATAACAAAGCTTGCATCGTGCTTACTTTCCTCCTTGCAATTGCAGAAAGAAGAAAAGTTTACATTATTTCCCACCTTCTTCATAGTTACAGTCACATGCAGAAAAAAAAAATCTTCCTTAATTTCGTTTACTCCATGTTCACATGCAAAGAAGATGTAAAACTTGCATTTCTGCCTTCATTATATTCACATGCATCCCCTCTAATTCAACCTGCTAGGACCGCCCGCATCTTCCACTTTATTATGCCAATATTAATAAAATTAGCTATTAACCAAAACAAATAGCCGTCAAAAACGATAACTACCATTAACTCACGTCATCTTATCTTGTAGATTCTTAGAAAACAGTGTATGCTAGTCGGTGTTGAATTCATCAAACAAGCTTAGCGGATTAGCAAGTGTAGCCAATCAATCTATATTTGATTACTCCATTATTCGGGTTTGATTAAATTTGGTTTTTATTTTACATTCAACGGAATTCCCCAGCCCCCTCATTATGCTCCTACTAGTGCCCCACCTATACGGAATTTGTAGTCAATGGGGAATTTAGATCTCTAGCTTTGTTCTTTTCTGAATCCCAACTTGTAATGCATTGTAATCCGCGTAGTTAGTATGGCATGGTCATCGCCATATGTTGGGCATGATAAATCATTTGGCATAATGCTAAAAATAACACTTTATGTTTGATTGAAGGATAAATCATAAATGTCATCCGTCAATTTTACTCATTCTTATTTTGGTTATGAAAAAAATTAGATTTTTTTTAACTTAATTACTGAACTTTCACGTTATTTTTGTTTTGGTCATGGATACATCAAATTTACACAAATGATCGTCATTTTGGATTTAAATAAAGTGAACATTTTCACAGGGTATGGGCCAACAATATATTCGTATTATAAAGTATCTAAAGTTTCGGATCACCGGTATAAAGTCAGCCGAATGCAACAATTATGATTAGGGTCGTAAAAGAGTTCAGACAACATGACAACGATTATTAGTTCTTTAGTTATAATCCCACAGAAAACCGAGTACGTGGACAAAGAAAGCTTCCCATATATATTGCCAAGGCATAAAAAATGAAGGTGCAAAATTTTCTAGCTTCTAAGCCTGAAACATGGTTTCCAAAGGTATTTCATCTATTAGGAAAACTTCACCTCAACGCCACTCTTCTGAGGGCTGTTTACACGATGTTCCAAAGGTGTTCACCTGATGAGTTTTTTCAACACTGCTTCAGCTCGATGCTCAAACTTAGGGAGTGCCCACTCATGTTGGACAATGTCAAGACCATCTTTCTCAGCACCCAGACTCTAATAAGAATGATAATCAAAGGATTATGTGGCAGACAAAGTTAAGAAATAAAACAAAATCTTTTTTATTCTGGATTTCTTTACAGGATGCTTTATAAATTTAAACCATATATCAACCAAATAAAGAAGGCAATGCTTCCCAAGCAGTATCAAGAAAACATATCTTCATTTCTTAAATTTAAACCATATCAACCACAAAAACAGTTTGGTTTATTTTGATTGAACTAAAAGTTGCATGTAATTAAAATCATTTTCTCAATTGATTTGACTCCAAAGCAAAGCAAAATGGAAGGGGGACACACCCTGGTCATGTTGAGAAAAGCATTGGCTTAAATTCCTACCACAAGGATTCTTTTTTTTATAAGAATTGGATGTCTCGTTAAAAAAACCCTTCATAATTGTTAGAAAACCATGTGGGCAGACCGACAAAAAGAGGAAGAGGGAAAATAGGATTCTAAACAGGTAAATCATTTTCCCTTGGCAAAAAGGCTCAACAGCCATGTGTCTCCTACAGGTAAGGATGAATCTAATACATATTCCACAAGGCATTCTCCTAAGAGAAATACAAATAAAGAACTCTTGGTAAATAAAAAAGATGGATATTGTAAATAGAAAATTATGTTTAGCTTGTGGTATAACTTTTTTTTTAATAAGATTTGAAGGCCTCATTAAAAAAACCACCTTCTTGAGTAATGGAGTTTATGTGTAAACTCCTTAATCAGCGGAAGATGAAAAATAGTGCCTTATAACTTTATTAAATAAAGTAGGAATTACAGCCTAAAGGAATAAAACCCAATAACCCTTACAAGTAATCACTTGAAAAACAAAATACATAAAATTCAGCCTATACCAGCTTTTGCTAAGGCATCAGCCTCCATATTAGTTGTCCTTGTAACCCATCTAACTATTGCCCCACAAAACCTCAGATTTACAACTATATCTTTAGCAATGAAAGCATACACAGCTGGACAAGAATCAGCTTTAATAATCCAGTCCACAGCTACCCTCCTGTCACTCTCAACAATCAAACGAAATTTTTCCCTCCCTTAGATAAATGAGACGAAAACAAGTCCCCTTTGAATAGCTTTAAGTTCCTTCAATGTTGGAGGACCCGAACCCTCTGACTCCTGAAAAGTTCCTAATATTGCACCAAGATGATCCCTTAAAATGACTCCCAACCCGCTTTTCTTCCAATCACTACTAGTGGCAGCATCCACATTCAGTTTAAAGAAGCCTATAGGAGGTGGACACCAGGGAAAAATAGAAGACTTCAGGAACTTGTAGGACGAATGAGAATCCCCTATTGAAGGGTCTGAAATCAACGAGTCTTTAGGAATAGAGATATCCTTATACTTAGCTAGGAACCAAGATGCAAGCCTGACTCTTGCTAAAAAGAATAATTCAATCTGGTCCAACTTCCCCCCTTCAAAAACAATAAAATTTCTGGTTTTCCAAATGGTCCAAATAACAACCCCAGTAATGAATGACCATATACCAGAATTTGGCTTCAACTCTTCCCAGCCTAAGAGAAACATTTTAGCATCTTCATGAAGAACAGAACTAAAACTCCACAATTGTAAAAATTTATTCCATAATGCCCACACAACCGAACAAGAAAAGAATAAATGCGAGGAAGACTCATCAACCTTTTTACAAAGAGGACATAAAACATCATCAATTCCTTGAACTCTTCTAGCCAATTCCGTTTTAACAACAAGCTTTTGCTGCACAATTTGCCACAATAATGTTTCAACTCGTGGTGGTAGTAATCCTCTCCAAACAACCTTCATCCAGAATTGAACCTCTTCGGAACCAGTAACACTTTTCTTAAAACAAGAACTGACTGTAAACATACCATCCCCACTGCCTTTCCAAATTAAGCTATCACTGGATTCAGTAGACAGAGAAACAAGAGAAATAGTGCTCATCAAGTTGCACCATTGTTCCATCTCTCAATCATTTAAATTTCTTCTAACTTGAACATCCCAAATCCAGCCCGATGGATGAAAATCTCCAAACTCACATAGCTTTCCTGATTTATTAGTAGCAATCAAAAACAATCTTGGAAAAATGACCTGTAGCGGATAATCTGTTGCCCAAACATCCTGCCAAAATTGAATGTGCTTACCATTGCCAACTTGAAAGCTACACAAGGAACGAAAATTAAAACCAAATGAATCTTGCTTGAAATAATTATTAACCACTGCTCTCCACTGCCAAGAAATACAAGCTGGAAGATTACTGTCAAACAATAACCTAGAGGAATTGAAACTGTATTTAGAACAAATAAATCTCTTCCAAACCGAATTTCTCTCGTTTGCAAATCTCCAGGACCATTTCCCTAGCAAAGCTCTGTTCATGAAATTCAGATTACGTACTCCCAACCCTCCCTCATTCTTAGGTTTACAAACTTCAGTCCATTTAACCCAGTGAATTTTCTTTTTACCATTCCCATCTCCCCATAGAAAATTAGACATAATAGAATTAAGAGCCTTAAGGATTGAAGCTGAAATCTTTTAAACATTGACAAAAAATAAGTGGGCAGTGAGCATAAGACAGATTTAATCAAAACCATTCTTCCAGCATGTACAGATTCTTTACTTGTTCTTACTTGTAGCAGTTCACTGCTTAATTTTTGGATATTATACAAACACAGAGCTTATCCCCAATATATATATATATATATATATATATATATATCATACAATATCAAACAGCTTCATGCCTCTCTGATCGTGGGGCAAACATTATACAAGTTACATGCTCAAGCAATGTCACATCAACAAAATGATTTGGTACTGAGTAGAGAACTTGTCATAAATGTATTTGTAAAAGGTAGCAAAGATTTGTTGCCTGTAAAACCAATCAAATTCTAAGCTCAAGGACTCTTTGGAAGACAAATTGTTCAAACTCTAAGGCTGCAACTTGTAACTATTATTCTAAATTCCCTACTCAATACCTTTTAAGGCATCATCCTAAGCTTATATGCCAAAACAACCGTAAGAAACTTAGGTATCGCTAAAGGATTTAAACTAGTCTAAGACTTAAGTGTTAATAAAATAAAAATTCTAATTTGCTTTCTATACATGCTACTTAAGGAAAATAATCTCCATTAACGAATAAAAAGTAATTCAAATAACAAAAGGAAAAAAACATGAGTGAGAAAAATAGAGAGAGAAAGAGAGCGAGTGCTTTTGGTCGTTCATTATTCGATGAGGAATGGACTGTTTTTGTTGGAAATCTTAGTATGAGAGTTACTAGAGGTGAGTTAAGAGAGATTTTCAACCATTATGGAAGAATAGTGAGGGTCTTTATTCCAAGTTTTATGAGTAAACCGAATTATAAGTCATCCACGTTTGCTTTTGTGCAATATGCGTTGGAGGAAGGTTGCAGAAGAGCAGTTCAGAATGTCAACGGAGCGTTGATTGATGGGAAGAGAGTCACAGTGGGGGTTGCAAAGTACAAGAGGGGCAGGAAAAGAGCAGAACTCAACTGGAAGGATTTAAGCCAGATAGTGAGGCTAATGGTAGACAGCAGGCTGATTTGGAGAAACCACCAAGTTTGAGAGATGGCAGAACGTACAAGGAGGTTGTGAGTGTGGCTAACAGTAGGAGTTTGGATCAACAACAAATGGTGAATAGGGGAGGCCAGAAGAAAGCAAATGGAGTGAGAAATGTATGGGATATGCACATCCCATCAAAAGATTTTTGCTGGGTGAAAAACTCCTTAACAGGGGTTATTAAAGATCCCTTTCAGCCTGATATGGTGGTGAGAGATCTGGCAAAGGAGGGTTTCCAGGTTAAGATAGTAAGGTGGGGATATGTTAGGAATGCCAGTATTATTATGTTCAATACAAATGAAAAGTTTTTAAAGGCATGGTCAAGTCTTAGAGAGAAATTCCACTACTGGTTTGATTGGGTAGATCCTTTGTTGAGTGAAGATGGAGTCCCTTTGGCCTATTGCTTGGTCGAGTTGGTTGGTTTACTGCTTCTTAGCTGGAGCGTACCTTTTCTGGAGAAGCTTGGAGGTAAGTGAGGAAAGGTTGTTAGTATAATGGAGGAAACAAGAAATAGAGATGACCTCTCTTCGGCCAGAATGTTGTTAAGGGTTGCAAGCCCTTTTGATGTACAAGAATCTGTTATTGTAGGATCTTATGGAAGATCGTTTAAAGTTAAAATTAATGTGGGATCCAGCTCTAAGTCTATCTCTGAAGCTTTAGGAGTCATGAGGCATGATTTTTCATATGGTAGCTGCAGTGACAATGTGTCAAAGGGGGAAGATGGTGGTAACACAGAGAAGGAAGAAGACAATAGTGAGAACTCAGCAGAAGGATTATGGTCAAAGGTTGACACGTGGCTTCAATAGTCAAGATAGGGGGATGTCAGAAGAAGGTGGGGAACATTATCTGAAAAAGAAGTCTACTCTTTGCCCAATACTAATGGGGTGTCAGACAAATTTGAATTTGAATTAAATCCCAGTGGGGATTATGCAGGCCTTGGGCTGCGAGAGGTTGTGGACCAGAGTCTTCCGGCCTATTCTGATTCTAATTGGGAGTCTTATTCTCCTGTTACTAAAATTATCCCAATTGGCCCTGCTGTGAAGTTGAATTGGGCTAGGTCAGTAAATCAAAATAAGGTTCAGAATCTGTCTGAATTTATTGCAGATGAAAGAATTGTACCATTAGAAGAAGAAATAGAGGGGGTCAGGAAGATGAATGTATTGTTCTGGGTAAGCTAGTAGAAGGAACTCTGATGCAAGCGGAAAACAGTGAAGCGAAGTTTTCAAAGCGGTTGAATCGGGGACTTCCTGTTTCTACATGTTTGTCTATTAGAAGTTGTAGGAATTATAGAAATGAGTTGTCAATCCCTTAAGTTAAGAGATTATGTAATTATTTTCTGTTTTTTCAATCCCTTATTTCAAGGGATTACATCTCCTAGGATTAGTTTCCTTTCTTAGAATTTCCTAGTTTAGAGGCATAATTTGTATATAAATATGTAATA